TTCTAAGCATCATGCCAATTTTGCTATATATGGGTAAGGAATTCCTTTTTCCCAGAGAAACTTCAGTGTTTACCACACTCAGCATTAACTGCTCTTTTATCTATATTCAGTATAAATTTCCAATAATACAATAGCTTATTCACAGAATTACAGGTGGCAGCAAATTAATTTCTTTCACTTTTCTGTCAAGACATTTCAATCCTGAGAAACCAGAGCCATGGATTTGCCTCTGAGAATGTTAGGAGGGTACCAGTTGGGAGGTGGTGACGTTTCTTGTCTACTGGAGAAATCTTACAATCCTACTAATTTTGCATAGGCCAAATACTAGGTTTTAAATTTTTTTTGTCAGTTTATCAGGCAAGTAATTTGTAATTCTTTGATTACATATAAAAACAATTTTGCCTTTCTAAATATACTGAGATTTTTCTAAAATTTCTTTGAGCTTTGAAGATACCTTCTTCAAGATTTAAGTATTTTGGCAGCAAATTAAATGTCATTTTGCTCCTTTCCCAGGAAGTTTCTTCTGGAGAATGTCATTCAGAGTTTCACCTCAAAAAGAGATGTTCTCTCACACTTTTCTGTCTTGAAAGCAGGAATCCATAAACTGTCAACTACACATCAGTCAAATGGGAAATAAGAAAACTTTTGAAAACACAACCAACCCCTCATTCCCCCCAATCCTACAGATTATTTATCAAAGCAACATATTTCTTTCTTGGCACATTTTGGGGAAATAAATATCAGTAGAAGTGAAGCATTTGTCTGCATTCATTGTCTAATGCAGTGCTTTCAAATGTTCCCAGCCCCTAATGCCTAGAAGCTTAAATCTTGAGTATTTCCCATCTACTGATAATACTTCTAATTAGTGTGTTGATAGTGATAAAAATACTGCTAAAATTCTGCTGTTTTATTATTTAAATAATGATCAGCCTTTACTTCCTTTCAGAAATTTATATATTTTAAATGTTTAACATTCACTGTCTGTAGAATTCAGTACTATTATAATACTTGATTGCTTTCTGTAAATAGTATTACAACCCCAGCATAAAATATTCAAGGATTACTGGAAGAAGGACATTTCTGTGCATCATGTAGACATAATTTATTACAAATCTTCTTTTAGAATATTGTCATTCCATCATTGGCTGCTTTTCTCTTGATAGACTTACTTCTTCAATAAATCAATGCTAGCTTAATATTGGCTGTTTTCCAAATTGCTGGAAGACTTGATGTCTAAGAGTGAAGACACTAATCCTCTTAAACTGTTCCTTAAGCAACCATTTGTCATCTCCATGTAGCAGCTTTGCTTGAATTCAAAGGGATTTAAGTGTAAATGAGGGAAAAACTTAGTGTCACTTGTTCTCATGTAATGAATTTAGTTCTTAATGATGAAGGGTATTCCAGTGGACAGTCTATGTACCTATCCAGTATCCAGAAGCACCTTCCATGCTTTTCTGCAACTACTTGGTGTTATCGATTGGTGACTCTCTGAGAAGTTTGAATACAAAGTTCAAAGCTTTGTACAAGAATACATTTTGTTACAGTGCTTCTACATAGAGGAAATAATTAATTGTTTTTTCTAGGCAGCAAATACCATCTAGGTGTCACCTTAGCAGTGCTGAAATGGTCATAATTTTTGGACTGTTTTTTCTTCTACTCTGATTTTTCTCCTTTGTCTGTTGGTTCTACCAAAAAGGCACAATTTTGAACAGTATATTGGCACAAGCATTTGGGTGCTTTGCAGAAGTGCCCAATAAAATGAAGTGGGGAATTTACTCAAAAGGCAAACTTCAAAAATGTATTTTTAATTGATATGATTTTGTAGTTTTAAGAAATTAAAATTGAAAAATACCCATTAAAAATGTGAAACCTTTCAAAATAGTCTCCATGAAATCCTTTTTTAAATATGAATTGCTCCTTCCCTCCAGTATGTAAGGTATGGTTGTAATTTTCTACTGTTGTACTGGTGATCTTGCTTCTTTAGAAGCCATCATACAGAAGTAGGTGCATGTGGGAAATAAGTAGAGTCTTAGTAGAATACTGTGCGAGGGCAAGGACACCCAATCCGAGCTCTGCCCCTGGCTTGCTGGGAAAAGTTTATGCATACCCAAGTTTCACTTTCTGTAAAATAGGACTAATGATAAAGACCTTTGTCAAATGATTTGCTTTACTGATAGCACTGATGAAAAGTGCTACATAAGAGCTGCTATTACTATATTTATTCAAATCCAAGAAAATAGTTTTTTTCACCAGTCAGCATAGGGGTGGGGGAGCTTGGGCTTAGATCTGCGTAATTGCCTGGGGGAGTGGCAGCTCAGCCCTGCCTTTGGTCCTAGGCTCAGAGCAGAAGTCATAGCTGAGCCTTCACCTGCCCCAGACTGAAATGGCTTGTTTATAGGGGGTGGGAGCATGTGGGCAGGTGTGCATGAGGGAGACTGTGGAGTGGGGGTGTGGAGACCTATAGCCTCCCCCATCCCCACCCCTTGCTCTTGGTGTCTGCTCACCATCCACTGTCTCCTTCTCTATGCCCCCGTATCTTCTTCTCTGGTTGTGGTGCCACCAGCCCCAGCCTGGCTCAGTTGAGAGCTGCCACCACTTCTCCCAGCCTGGGCTGAGGCTGCACTGGTGCTGACTGTGCCAGGGGAGAAGAGCTGCAGCAGATGGTAAAAGGTGGTGGAGTGGGCAGGGAGTGCAGAGCAGGTGTTGGCAGGGGGAGTCGGGCTGAAGTGGGGAGCAGGGAGTGGGGGAGGCAGACGGTAGGGGGGCAAGGGTTGGGGGAGGCAAGGAATGAGGGGCGCACACAGGTAGGGGAGAATGTGTCAGGGGACAGGCACAGGCATGGGGGTGTGTGGCAGGGGGCAGCACTGCCGTGTGTGGGGGGGGGGGGGGAGGGGAGGGGAGGGTGTCTTAAATTCAAACTTGTCTTGGATTTGGGTATAAAGATGGTATTTCATAATAGTAGAATAATGCAGTGTTAGTAGCAACCAGTCCCAGAACATTCTCTTCTCCTCCTTTTGGAGCATCACAGAGTGGGCTGCTGTGATTCTAATCCACCCTGTTTTGTGATTCAAAGTGCATTAGCATTTCCATTGGAAAATGTAGCCGAGCATAATGTAAATTCAGAAATCTTTCCTGGAGTTGTTTGCTTGACATAAAAATTAGTATGACGTGTATCACACTAAAAGACTTCAAAAGACCCAAGGAATTGCATTATCTTCTGTAGAGAGAAAATAACATCCCTGAGTCATAACCTCAAGTAATGAAAGAATGCACATTCTCTATGCTTTGTTCTGAGATATGGTCAGTAAGAAATTTTCTCTCTCTTCCCCTATCCCACCCACCCCTTGGATTAGACTTGGGTTGACTCTACCCAAAACTAGATGTAATGGCAAAGTCTTTTCCTTTGCAGGAGGTAAATTCCTATAAACTAGTCATTAAGGTTTTTTTTTTTTCACATATTTGTGCCAGTTTGCCATAAGGGCTTAAATGTTTGATTTCTGTGCAGTTCTGGCTGCTGCTTGAAGTTGTTTCCTATTCAGTGTTTTTTGTATGTGTACTTCTAAGGCATTGAAAGAAAACTGGATATTTTAATACATTTCTAATCTCTCTTTTCTATTATACAGCTTATTATTTTCAAGGAAATGAAGGATTGGATAGAAGTGGTAGGTGGATAGAGGAGAGTGCAGACAAGAATATGCATGCAGAACATTAATACTGTGCCAATTTAGCTGTCAGTCACAAGCAAATTTCATTCCATCTATGATTAGGCCTCTAGCTCAGTTAAAAAGTCATGATAAAGTTAATCACAGAGGACTAGTAAGTCAGGCTGCGCATTGCTAATTATTTTAGCAATTGTTGTTCACCCAAAGTGTTACATTTGCTTTATGGCCTGGTTTCCCACATCAATCAAATTGTTTTATTGGATATAACATTAAGGCATTTTACTGCTTTTCAATTTTGGAGAATCAATTTTTTTAGCCAATAAACTTGCTCTTAGTATGAATGGTTTATGTACTGCGGGCATATTGATTCACTTATTACAATCTCCCAATATAAAGATTTTTGGAGCTTCAGGTATAGTAAATTTACTTTGAAGATCATATTTTAGCATCTCAATTATTTCCAGCAAAAAAAGAATCCTCTTGCTTGCTATTTATTTATTTCAATTTGTTTAAAATATTCCCATCCAAATCCTTCTAGACTTGTGCAAGCTTTATCAGGATAAGCAACTGGTATCAATGACCGAACTAAGTTAAAGTCCTTGGTTCAGGAATTACTAGGTGAAATACCATGGCCTGTATTATGTAGGAGGTCAAGCCAGATGATCTTCACAGTCTCTTATAATGTAAAAAATATAAAAACTTCTTTCAATTCTTCTTAAAAAATATTATCATGCTGCCCTCTTACTCCTCATTCCCCATTTCGAAAAAGCTTGAGAACAAAGATTGATCTAGCAGCAAGACTAAAGCCCATGTGGTGCTTCTCTGTTTTCCATAATGATCTTATACTTGTGTTGAAAAGGCATGGCAATAGACTGGAACCATGTAATATCCCATATAAAAACCCCTTTGGGCACAAGAGCCAGTTACTCAATGCTGTCCTCCGAGGCAAAGTAATGGAACTACTCAGGGATGATCCAGTCTATGCCTGCGAGGTTCAACAACTCCTGCTTAATAATATCAGAAGTAGATGGTAGATTTAAAAGATGCTTGCCTTTTGCCCATAACCAGTAGGAGTCCATCCGTTAGTGAAACTAGTGTGATTTCTGTATTATGTGTGAGTTATTCCTTGACAAAAATCTATTTTTAGATTCATGTGGATTCAAGGTACAACTTCTGTGTAATCTCTCCCTGTCTAAAAGAAGTAAGAAGGAAGATCGAACTTCTAGTGGACTTGGAATTGTTTTCAACTCCAGGGTTTCATCAGTTGGGCTTTTTCCTAACAAACTACAGCATTATCAGCTTTTGAATTGTAATATAAATTTCTGTTTTCTCCCCCAGTGCACCTGCAGGAAAGATATGGTAACAATATCCATGGATATCTTTGTGAGGAAATTTCAACCGGACAGATATCAGCTGTGGAAACAAGGAAAAGATTTATACACCATTGATCATACAAAGCCCACTCCTGAAACAACATCTGAGGTAAAGGCCTGGTTGCAGAGAAAAAGGAAAACAAAGAACCCTCCCAAATGGTAATCAGAATTCTTTATCCTCCATTTAATTAAACTTAAATACGTTGTATATTTCTCCACTTTTTTTTTCTATGCTGCTTTCTCTGTCATTCCACTTAAGCTGTTCATTTATTCTAGTCACAGTTAATTTGTATCTTCTTATAACTTAACTATGAGCTTGGGGGCAAACAAGTTTTTAATTCATAGTGATTGTATTAAGTGAAAAATGCATTCATTTTACAGCATGTAACAAAAATGCATAATTGAAGTTGATGCACATGAAAAGCTGAGCATTTCTTCAAATGCAATATTTAGGTTCTGTTCACTAACATTTTCAATATATTGGTGGTTTTGTCCAACATTGCCAACCAGGACATCTTGAAGACAGTAGTTGTCTAAGTGCTATCTGTAGATTGACAAGTGGCATTCATATGAGGCTACTGGAGAGTCCCAGAAGCTGCTTACGTCCTCTTATAATAAACTTAGTCTTCATAAGCTTGTAGGTTGGATGTTCTAGAGAGAAAGATACTTACTTTCATAAATCCGTCTGTGGGGTCCCCCTAGAGCCCCGAGTTTCTCCCTGTGGTGCTATCACATGTGCCATGGAACAGATGAGGTTGCCCTGGGATAACTCCTTAACCCAGCAAGCTTCAGCTCCACTGCTCTTATGCAACACCCTGTGGTTGCAGTGAGGGATTCTCGGCCAACCCAGGCAGCGACACCATTTGGGTTGTGGAATAAATTATAACCCCCCCCCCCCCCCCCGTTTCCATGGAAAGGGTAGCCTGAAGTATCACTCTTCCAGAAATCCGTCTTTCCAGAGGTAAGCAGTAAGGAGACAGAACAACAAAAGGATTTATTATATAGGATAAAATAATTATACTAGTAAAACAGAGCGCAGGTTTGAAGACAGAAAAGCAAAACAAGCAAAGCTTTCTTACCTGGCTACAGTTTAGCCCCTCCTGAGAGACCTGGCAGCATTCGTCGAGACCAGCCTTCCTGCTGGTTCTTCTGGTCCTGGCAGTTGGGATCATTGATTCCTCTAAAGCCCAAGGTTCAAAGACACCGATTGTATCCTAGCTAGACCCTAAAATCCCTTCAAGGGAGCCCTCATATTAGCATTATTCTAATACTGATGAGTCAGCAGAATCCTTCAGAAATTTGTGGCCTCTCTGGCTACCTAGCATACCTCTGGCCTGATGGACCACAGATGATTTTGCTTCAGAGGAGTTGATTTCCTCATTATAGACAGGCAGTGCTTTGGGACCCAACTCCTGTCTGTGTGTGTGGGAAAGAGAATAATTGACTGTAAATGTGCATGCCTCAGTCCCCTGGATGAACTATTTCCAAAATTATGAATGCATACATAGACAAGCTCCCCAGCCACAAAACAACCATCAGAGGAACAACACCAACACCTTACGACCTTCCAACCTCAGACTTGATGAAACTGCAAGCAGCAACCAACCCACAAATATTATCAATCTCTCCACACACAC